CCCCTTGATTTTGCCAAGGTATATACGGAGATATTCGTTTGGTGCATCTGTATATGCGTATTGTTTTCATAAATTTTGTATATTAAATTAAAAGGCGATAGCAACTCTTTTAATTAATAAAATAAGTGCATGCTGTATAAGTACATGCTGCATGCGATGGAAAAGTAGTCATGCAGATCGGAGAGAAGAAAGAAATGATGGAGGACGAGAAGTCCAAGGAGGAGCTGACGAGAGTCGAAACTCTGGGATTTAATGAACTGCTGAGCTATGCAGACGCGTTGGATTGGAGCCTGATGGTTTTGGGGACGTTGGGTTCCATTGTGCATGGTATGGCTTTTCCAGTTGGATATCTGTTGCTTGGCAAAGCTCTCGATGCCTTTGGGAACAACATCAATGACACTGTTGCCATGGTTAAATCCCTCAACGAGGTAGTACTGTATGTAAATTAAGTTTAAAAAGCGTGCAGGCTTGCTTCACATCTCACGAGCTTTGTTGTTGTTTGTAAATTAGGTTATTCCATATGTGTGGTACATGGCCCTCGCCACATTCCCAGCTGGAATACTTGGTATATATATTTCATTTCCAACTAATATTGAATGTCCATGTTAGTAAGATAATAATAAACCTCTAATCATCGTATTAATTAATTACTTATATATCCTGCTGCTTGCTTGGAGTGGAGTTTTGCAGAAATTGGATGCTGGATGTATTCAAGCGAAAGACAAGTGGCACGTCTAAGATTAGCATATCTAAGAGCAGTGCTCCGCCAGGAGATTGGAGCTTTTGATACAGACTTAACAAGTGGCAAAATCATTACTGGAATTAGCAACCACATGAGTATCATACAGGATGCAATTGGAGAGAAGGTTTAATTCCTAGCTACTCTTGCTCATGAGTCATGACAATTAATATTAATGAATATTAATATCACTCGCATGCGGCATGCAGTTGGGTCATTTTCTGTCATGCCTTGCAACTTTCTTTTCTGGAATTTTGATTGCTGCCATATGCTGTTGGGAAGTGGCACTGCTTACCTTTTTGGTTGTCCCGCTGATTCTTATAATTGGAGCCACCTACACAAAGAAAATGAACGCCATCTCCGCCGCAAGAATGCTTTACCAGTCAGAAGCTACGTCTATGGTAGAACAGGTAACAGCTAGCTAGCTAGACCCTGCCAGTGCCAAACAACAAAGATACATATTACTATCTAACCGATCCCTGTATGCATCATCATCACAGACAATATCTCAGATAAAAACAGTGTATGCATTTGTTGGAGAAAAGTCTGCAATCAAGTCTTTCTCAGAGTGCATGGGAAAACAGTATTTGCTAAGCAAAGGAGAGGCTCTAATAAAGGGAGTTGGAACAGGAATGCTTCAATCTGTGTCTTTTGGTTCTTGGGCTCTCATCATATGGGTTGGTGCTGTTGTAGTCACTGCCACGAGGGCAAGCGGTGGAGATATTATAGCTGCTGTCATGAGCATTCTCTTTGGAGCTATGTAAGCAAGGAAGCAAGCAAGCAAATTTCTATATATGATTGACAGTTCAATAATTAACCTCAATTAATTGGTTTCTATTGAATTTCAGATCACTCACTTATGCTGCACCAGACATGCAAATCTTCAATCAGGCAAAGGCTGCAGGAACTGAGGTTTTCAAAGTCTTAAACAGAGAGCCAGTTATAAGTTATGATTCAAAAGGGAAGACACTTAATGAGATTTATGGCAGCATTGACATACATGATGTGCACTTTTCCTACCCGTCCCGACCGGAGAGAGCCATCCTTCAAGGATTTTCGTTGTCAATCCCAGCTGGACAGACAGTAGCCTTTGTGGGCAGCAGTGGGTGTGGGAAGAGTACTATCATCTCCCTTGTCGCAAGATTCTATGATCCCTCAAAAGGTCTGTTGTTGCCTCCTTGATTTTCAACTCCTTAACCACACAACTAAGTAGGCAGGCTTTTCTTTGAGTTTACTTGTTGCACAGAGTTCTTCTTATTGGTACATGAAATTGATAAATGTATGTACGGATGGATATTCAGGGGAGATTTTGATTGACAACCACAATGTCAAGGACCTTGATTTGAAGTTCCTGAGGAAAAACATAGGAGCAGTTTCGCAAGAGCCATCACTGTTTGGCGGGACCATCAAAGACAACATGAAAGTTGGTAAGATGGATGCAGAAGATGAAGAGATCCAGAAAGCAGCAGTTATGGCAAATGCACACTCTTTTATATCCCAACTTCCAGATGACTACTCAACAGAGGTCAGCAACTCAGCTCAACTCATTAAGAGAACAGTATATTAAGACATTATGATGATAACTTGTGCACTTTGGATGAAATGGGGGTCCAGGTAGGGCAAAGGGGTGTCCAGTTATCAGGAGGACAAAAGCAGAGAATCGCCATAGCTAGAGCCATTCTAAAAAACCCTCCAATTCTTCTGCTTGACGAGGCAACAAGTGCTCTTGATTCAGAGTCAGAGAAGGTGGTTCAAGACGCCCTTGACAAGGCCATGCAGGGAAGGACAGTCATCTTGATCGCACACAGACTCTCAACTATCATTAATGCGGATATGATTGCTGTTGTTGAAAATGGCCAAGTTACAGAAACAGGGACGCATCGTAAATTGCTTGACAGCAGCAACTTCTACAATAACTTGTTTGCTATGCAGAACCTCAACCCCGTTCATGAGTCAAGGTTAGTAATATTAATTCACACTTGAAAATCTTCCTTGCTTAATGCTTACACACGTAACGTAATAGCAATAAATCATAACAACCTAACTAACCATTATACAATGTGGACTGAAAAACAGAGACACTAGTTCCTCTCAAGAACCTGCCAACACCCAACAGATTTCGCCCGAAGAGATAGAACAAGCCAGGGAACCTAGGGAGCCTGACAGCCAGCTTAAGGAGTCTCCAAAGCATGAAGAACAGGAAAGAAGAAAAGCAGCTATATTCTTCAGAATCTGGTTTGACTTGAACAAGCGAGACTTTGGAAAGATTGCTCTTGGTTCCTTTGCAGCAGCTTTCTCTGGCATATCAAAGCCTACCTTTGGGTATTTCATTATAACAATCGGAGTAGCATACTACGACAACGATGCTAAGAGGGAGGTCGAACATTATTCAATCATCTTTTCTCTAATAGCATTTCTTTCATTATTCTCTCACACCGTGCAACATTACATCTTTGGAATGGTTGGAGAGAAGGCCATGACAAACCTGAGACGAGCTCTCTATTCAGGTATCATACAGTCCTGCCCGTAACAATCATCTCATTATTTAAATTCTGCTTCAAGAAGGTAATACAAAACTACAAATTAACACCCATCCATTATAATCTTGCAGGTGTACTACGCAATGAAATCGCATGGTTTGAGAAACCTGAGAACAACATTGGTCCGCTTACTTCACGGATCATCAATGACACCTCAATGGTTAAAACCATCATTGCTGATCGTATGTCTGTTATTGTTCAGTGCATCTCCTCCATACTGATTGCAACAATTGTGAGCATGTATGTTAACTGGAGAATGGGCTTGGTAGCTTGGGCTGTGATGCCTTGCCACTTCATTGGTGGTCTGATTCAAGCCAAGTCTGCTAAAGGATTTTCAGGTGACGCAGCTGCTGCACATTCTGAACTTGTTACTCTTGCTTCTGAGTCTGCAACCAACATAAGAACCGTTGCATCCTTCTGTCATGAAGATCATGTACTCAGAAAAGCCAAAATATCTCTGGAAAACCCCAGGAGAAAGTGCAGGAGAGAAAGTATTAAGTACGGCATAATTCAGGGTGTTTCCCTTTGCTTATGGAACATCGCACATGCTGTTGCATTGTGGTATACAACAGTGTTGATTGATAGACATCAAGCAAGCTTTAAAAATAGCATAAGATCATACCAGATTTTTTCTCTTACAGTACCTTCAATCACAGAATTATGGACACTGATTCCCACTGTCATCTCTGCCATCAGTGTGCTAACTCCTGCATTCCAGACCCTTGACCGCAAAACTGAAATAGAACCAGCTATACCAGAAGATTCAAATCTTGACAGAATCAAAGGGAGCATCGAATTTCAAAATATCAAGTTTAATTACCCTTTAAGACCAGAAGTAACTGTCCTGAACAACTTCAGTTTGCAAATTGAAGCGGGAAGAAAGGTGGCCTTTGTTGGCCCAAGTGGAGCTGGGAAATCTTCTGTATTGGCCCTTCTGCTCAGATTTTATGATCCTATGGAAGGAAGAATACTCATTGACAGAAAGGAGATAAGGGAATATAACTTGAGATGGTTGAGAAGACAAATAGGGTTAGTTCAACAAGAGCCTCTTCTTTTTAGCTCCTCAATCAAAGCAAATATCTGCTACGGGACCGACGGGGCTTCTGAGACTGAGATTGTGGAGGTGTCTAAGGAAGCAAACATAGATGAATTCATAAGTAATTTGCCTGACGGATACGAAACAGTTGTTGGGGAGAAGGGCTGTCAACTTTCAGGAGGACAAAAGCAAAGAATAGCCATAGCTAGAACACTGCTAAAGAGGCCTGCAATTTTGCTCCTGGATGAAGCAACAAGTGCCCTTGATGCTGAATCTGAGAAATCTGTTGTGAGTGCACTGGCTGCGATAAATTTGCGAAACAATGGGGGCATACTGTCAAAAACCACACAAATTACAGTCGCACATAGGCTTTCCACAATAATAAACTCAGATACCATTATCGTCATGGATAAAGGCAAGATTGTGGAGATAGGTTCCCACTCAGCCCTGATAACAGCAACTGAGGGAGTTTATTCAAGATTATATCAGCTACAGAACTTGGCAGAAGAGTAACATAATACGTTCAGTTGCCTTGGAGATGTGCATACAGCAAGGGCACTTAAAAAATCCTTAGGACTATATATTTTTCTTTAGGAGCTTAAAGTAATATTGTTGTAGCCATTTCGTATTAAAAAGGGGCGGGACGAGGTTAATGACACAATGAATTGTTGAATAGAGAAGCACAGAAGTTGCAACATATATTCCTATTTATTGATAAATGAATAAATTTGTTCTCAAGTTCAACGGATGATGCCATATGGACTCTAAATACAATGTATACAAGAGAATACACTCACGGATGGAATCAACAAAACCTAAGAGAATAATAGACTAACAGGAAGTCATTCGCTCCATCAACATCAACTAAGAATATAAGAGTGTTCCCTTGAGCTCCAGCAGGCTTTATTTCTCACCCTCGAAAGTAAGCACACCGCAGAAAGCAAGCATAAGGGAGTCACTTTTCAAGCTGTGTCTCCTGCCAAATCTTCCAGGCAGCTAAAAAGCAACTCAAATTGATCATAATGACAACCAAGATAGCCTAGATTAAGAGCTTGTAAAACATCACAGCATCCTAGCATCTGAAGAGTAAGAAGATCTGAATCCCTGACTCTCTGGCCATCTTGCACATATGAAATCCACTAACAGTAACACATTTCCTCAAAATCAATCCATCATTAGTCAGGATCATTTGTAAAGAAGAGGTCAACACAGAAACTGCAGCCGGAATATCTTCAGAAATCAAATTGTCTTTCTAAGGGTGGGGGACAAGCCTTAACACGGTGAATATCAAATCATTCTCTTTTAGGCTGCGTTAATTTCAAACATATCTTATCTTTCCCTGTCCTGTCAACACTCACTGCATATACGTGAACACTAATATAGCCACTTGTTCCTCTGTTCATATATATTCGGAAGAACTGGAATCCAGATTGCAAATGTGCAACAGGTTCCTCTAGAACTCCAGAAAAACACTTTCTATTGTCTTGAGTAACTCCACTTCCTCCTGATTTGCTATTCCAGTATCAATATAACACAACTGAGATAAAATTATTGCATCAACTCCAATCCTAATGAGTAGTCGAACCAAAGGCAAATGTTATATTTAAATAATCATTACCTGGTACTGTGGCTTTTTCAGTGTGTGAACCCCTCTTTTGATGAACTTCTGCCATCCGACCTTCTGTTTCAGCGATCTTTCCAGATCTGCTGTTCTCTGTAATTATGTGTCACAAGAGTGAAAAGACAATTGTATTCAATAATAAATTCCAAAATACAGATGTTAAACCCAAGATGCACCACAGATTCCTACGAATTGATGGAACATTACATGGCCAGGGTCCAATATTAAGAGATTGTGCTGCTGCATCCCATTATGTTGATGTTTGACTTGAATCCCAACAACCGTTCTCGAATGTCCATCGTGTTGGAGGTACAAGGGTCTGCTCAAAGAACATCTCTTCAAATTAGAACAAAATATAAAAATAAATTGTGCACTCTTGGTACTATAGCTACTAACTGAGATAGAAACTTACGTTTTGTCACTGACAACAACCTGACGATCGCCAGATTTGGTACATTTTTTATCAGAAAAGTAGTTCCAGATCCAATCAATGAGAACCTGATGACCCTTGCTATTCCTTGTAAACTTATTTCCCAAATTCTCATTACTTTTGCTACACAACGAGTCACCAAGAGGAATACTAGAACATCCAGACTTTTCATCCCCACGGGAACTTGCTTGGGAAACATCATGATTCCTTGCCAATAGATACCCATCCATCGGGCCACAAACCTGAATTGCTTTCCTCTTTCCGCCATTATGTATTCTCTTTACTTCTTTCCCAAGACTTGAACCAGGAAGCAAAGGATAAAATGATTCAAGTTCCTTGGGACCAAAATCTACTACTCTTGCTCGAAGCCCAAAAGAACGGAAAAGGGCAGCACATTCAGTAGTTCCAATCCATTTTTTTGAGCCATAAATATTATTAGCAAAATGATCAGAGCCAAGTTCATCAAATCCCTTTTCCCAAGCAATCTCAAGCCATCTTTGGAGAGATGGAATATCAGGAACAAATCCCGAACCACCAAATAAAACCTCCCGAGCTTCGTGCCTTTGCATAAGCAAGTGGGAGCTAAGCATTTGGATGTTACGCCACCCACAACCCCACCCAACGTCCTCAGATGGAATGCTCTGAAAATGATCAATATAACCGGACACAATACTGGTTGTATTTCCACGTTCTGACTCCAAACAGTCTTTCATCAAGGCCATCAAGCCATGTTCAATTTCGTAGAAAGTGGTCCTAGTCTGTAAAGCAATCAAGCAAGAGACTTTTTCCTCCATGCTAATTTGTGCATCACAGTTAGAAATTGGCAAGTCACTGATTGCTTGACTATTCTGCGGGTGTATCCAGTTCGAAACTAAGTTAGGTAGACTGAGCTTCAGATTACAACTTAAAAGAAGACTAAAGAAGAAGAAGAAAACAAAGTTGCTGTCCAACCATTTGTTAACAAAGACGTTTCTCTTTTCCCTGAGAAAAACGAATAAAAATCCTTTCTTTCTTATAAAAACCCAAGAAACTTTTGTTTTCATATATGATTTGAATGGGCAAGCCATAAGAAGAGAAAGTAAACGAGAAAGTAAAAGAGTACCATGGATGATGATGGAGGTGAAGAAGGGGCAAGAGCAAGTTGTTGGGCAAATTCCAAGTCCCTTGCTAGTTGTTCATCTTTATCCTCGACCTCAAAGTGACTGTTGGCATGCCTGCAACAATTCATTTTATTTACACATCACATACATAACCACAATCCAGAAATTTTAAATAAATAAAAAAGGATTAACTTTCTTTGCTTTGCTGCAAATACTTATGCAGCTATATATTATGTGTGTACGAGTTGCGTATTATAATACCACTCAAGTTCTGAGGATGGAACTTCCAAATGACAGAATGGGCAAGACGACGGATCCATGACATAAATTTTCTCCGAATTGAGCCAAACAGCGGGAAGAAGAAGAACAAATGAAAGAAAATTGTAAGCTCTCCTAGTTTGATTTGAATTGCGTGGGCGTTCGTTCATATTTCTTTCCCGGATCAAGCCAACCCGACTCTGCTAAATGGATCGGACTTGGGATTCGGGACGGGGCTGTTATGGGCCTGACTGTGTGCTACAGTGTGTTACAAATATAGTGGCCCATAATGTTATATGATTTTTTTTTATTTTATTTTGGGGATAATTCTTTCTATTTTTATTTTAATAATTAATTATTATTATTAGTTTAAGCATTTCTTCCCCATCTCCTTTTTCAAGTTAAGTTCAGTTCTGTAGGAGATTGAAATTTGAATATATGTTGATTAAAATTTAGTTGTTTTCAAAATCATTATTTAAATAAAAGGTGATTAACTGCGATTATTCCATTATCAAGGTGGCAAATTCCAAGTTTTTCTGAGAGATTGAGAGAGAGAGAGAGAGAGAGAGAGAGTAACGATCAATAAAATTCAGTAAACTGCTTTAATGATGGTAAACTAGTTATCAGTCATGATATTTACAGTCAGTTAGTCCTCCATTCAGGGCATTCACAGGAAAATACATGTTCTTGTCACGGCGTGGCAATAGTTGCTCCAGTTATACACACAGCAATCTTTTTAACTGGGGAGCTCAAGCTTCCCTCTAACACAAGAAATACAAGTAACCCACCAATGACCAAAGCTGCAGTATCATTATGCTTCTTCTTTAGCAAGCACCCTCATTCCACTCTTTGATAGTAGAAGGTCTTTCATTTCTTTATAACTTCTGAGCTCCTCCAGCGCATCAGATGTCTTCCGAGGCATAAAGAAACCAGAAGCTGTTGCAACTCCTCCCTCGTGTTCAGGTTTCAAAGACTGGGATGAGTAACAACTTGAATCTTGGCGCAGAGGTGGAGCTGTCCTCAGCATCTGAACCAGAACGCCAACCGCAGCATCATGTGATTTTCTGCCTATTGGCAATGACTGTGATGTATACTCAGAAGCTTTTCTGCCATCGAGATTTTGACTGCACCAAAAACACGAATAGAGAAACATAAGTAAGATACTAAGCAAGTAAGCTTCGCATATTTGCAACAAGCAACATACTAAATGTAACCTCAGATCAAGTGCATAAGATAAGGCTAGAAAACAAATGCATGGCATATCAATTCAAGTCAAAATAGTAAATAACCCATCGTAAATAGCAAACACCTTATCCGTTTCATCCATTTCAATATACTTGAATTCTTAGTTTTATATTTTGAATAAATAATATAAAAGCATGCATAACTTCTCGATGCATACAAGTAATGGTAGAATACCCAGTCAACTGTCTTTTGAAAATTTGACAGTTGCTTATCTCCAATTGAGCCAGCACTAGGAAAGCAACTGTCATTTCAA